CTTTAGCTGTGCATCAACTAGATCCTTGGGGTCAATAAATGGGTGATCTGGACAAAGGCTGCAAACTGGAAAGGCCTAAAAAACGAGCATTTATGGATTCTAGTCAAAAGCAAAGAACATACAACATAGCCATTGTATTAAGATTTTGTAATTATAGTTACTGGAAATAAAAGGTTATTAGCAAGCAACAGACCAAAGCAATTTACAAAATAATATTAATACCCTGTATGAAAAACAGTGCTTGAAAAAAAAATTCGAAACTAGTATTCTGAACCTCACTTAACTTACTGTTACTAACAATTCTATATTATTTTAAAATGGTATACTGACAATAGAATCCTAATTTTTCAAACCCTCAGTTTCCTGAGCCTCCTGATAATTCAAACTAAAACTTACTTTCCTTCCCCAGTGAAACACTCTAATATTTACCCTAGATTTTTTCAACCGCCTAAGGAGGTTTTAGGGATTCCCCAGGATCCCACTGTACCTTAATTGACAGACAGAAAAATGATGAAAAGCTTTTATTAACTCCATATTCAGTTTTGCAGCAAACTGGTTCTTTGTTGAGTATGTTTTTGACTAGGTTATTTGAGTGGGTCTATTTTGTACAAGACAGACATTTAGAATGATTAATTTTTTAGTTCAGTTACTCACTAGAAGTTGATGTAAACTTCTAATGTCCTTTGCAATGCTGAATTGTCTCTTGAGAACTACCTGTGAAGAACTGTCTTCTAACAGATCCTTTAAACACAAAATGAAGAAAAAAATCAAAATATTTCATAAGTTGAGTAATGGGCACTCCCATTTCAAGTTACTTAGCCTGTAAAGCAAGTGTCTCCATGTGAGTTAGTTGAGAAAGTTGGGACAGGAGAAAAAAGGAGGAATGAAGGGGGAGGGGGAGGGGAAAGAAGGAAACGCTTGCCTGCAAACCCCATGATTCTGAAAAACTGTGAGTTCAATCCTTTTGTATCATTAAGCTAGGTTTTAATATAAAATTTTAGTTTTCTGCTTTTGTGTGGAGCAGGTTTTAAAGAGAACAAAGTTAACTTTACAAATCTGGTAATCTATTCTGTCTGTTATTCATGTTACTGGCTCCTATGTTGACAAGCTGTCAATATATACAAATGAACTGCAATGAGAAATATCAAGGGTTGTTTTCCAGAATTGTGGGGTTTGTAGGCAAACATTTGCTCTTTCCCCCTCCATCTTCTCCTTCAATCTTCCACTTCTTTTGCTCTTGCACCATTTTTTGTGCAATAACTCAACTGGAAATGCTTACTACTGACTGACAGGCTAAAAATTACTTTCAGATAGTACTATTTCTCAATTTTACTGAACAAACTTTCAGATTCTTACTGCAACATGGGTACTCCAGGCTTGAACAAATTGTCTGTCTTTAAAGCTTGATGGTAATGTTAAAACAGACCTATAATGTAAACAAAAAATTGTTAACTTATGCTTTAGAACACTACAACTGTATATTCATTTTGTCGATTGTGATAGAAGCAAAAACTCCAAATTTTAAACCCATGTTCAGGGGTGGAACCAGGGAAGGTGGATTAGGTGGCTAACCATCCCTCCTCCCCTTTTGGCCAACGAACATGTTTGTTACAAAAGTTTTAGTTGCACTTTATTTTCATGCTATGCATAATGTTGCATTCTGCCAGAAAATCTACATTGTATTTCGTGGCATGATGAGAATTTGCGGTGTTAAGGGTTCCTATTCAACATCCTTTCACAACAGCACATTTCGGGGATGCCACAGGACAAATTAAACTTCACGTTTTGTTTGTGGTCGATTGGTACCAGCCACCCTTACAAAAACCTGCATCCACCCCTTATGTTTCTTGGAAGATAATCGTACTTTTTGCCACTAAAAATATCAGTTATTCAGGATAAAGACTGTAAAATGTTTGAAATGAACTCAGTAAATACTATCTACCCTAACAACTGCCATAATTTAATAATATACTTACCTAACAACTTCAAGATAATCATCAAATGTCCCTGAGTTAAAAAGATGGATCTGTCTGTGTGAAAACCTGGACTTCACCCTCTTCTCAAGAAGTTCTACAACATCCTTCAGGCAAAAAAACAGGACTTATCATATATGACCTATATGTAGATGCCAGGGGCATTTACTTAATTTTAGGGGTCCAAGAGGGGGCATTTTAAAAAAAAGAAGAAATAATTCTCATTAGCTGTAACAAGCTCCACAAAAGTAACATGCTTTCGGCAAAAATATGAGGAGAGTTCTTAAATAACAGAATATCCAGTCCATCTATAATACGTCTAGGTCATCTAGAGATCCATATTCTCTTTCAAATCTCAACTTTGAAGTCAGAATCTTTGTTCAGGGTCATTGTGTTGTCATAGTTAACCTATCCTTACTTTGAACTTGACACTGAACAAGACGCAATGCACAACCCATTGTTAAACAAGCAAGAAACTGCGTAAATAAATTGAATGATTTTGCTCCTTTTTGCCATTTACTGGTATTGTGGAGTAATAATATTGTCACATGGGGCATTTATTAGAGAGGGGTATCTAATAAAAGCTGAAGAGGCCTTTATATTTATGGTGCATGTAATGCTCTTCTAGTCAATTACTGTACTTAAAGAAGGAACAACAATACACTAACAATTATGCATTTCAGCACAGATTTACCAGCCTACAAGTGAGCCCGATTACACAGATGGGAGTCTGGGCAGACTGTGACACATCAAACAGGTTGTATAGCAATGACTGATTTTTGTGGTTTGTAAACAAGTCAAACTCATCCAGAATAAACAGGACTGACTGACTATCCTGGCCACCTGTAAATACAAACTATAGTGAACTTTAAACCATTAGGCAGCCATGCCCTTTGAAGCAGTTAGTAATCCCAAAAAGAATAGAATAATTCCAATAACAATAATAATAATAATAATAATAATAATAATAATAATAATAACAACAATGATAATGGCTAAGTTATTCCAGCATATCCACTGAGTGGCTCTTCATCTGCTCAACTAAGATAATTAAAAATGTATATTATTTAACAATTATTCCATGAGTGCGCTTTGGATATAAGATGGTAGATAGCCAATAAGACACGTAGCGCTAACTTGGCTATAATCATCTCATATCCAATAAGTGCGAGTGGAATAATTGTTTTATTAAAAATGCCTACAAAATATTGAGAATTCTTCCCCACTTTATTTGTTAAAACAACCAATTTTCAGCTTGTTTTTAATTTTGAGCAGACATGTACAGTTACCATATTTGGAGAGCATGGTATAAAGGCTCATACACCAAGATGGCTAAAGCCAATAAGAACTCTAGAATATTGCATTATCCAATGATTCAGTTTTCAATAAATATATACATAAATATATAACTGGTAACCTATTATTTTACAATGCAAAAGAAAGAATAATGTATAATATAGAATAGAATAATAATTATTCTAAGCATATGTTTGGTTTTGTTTTGAAACTGTGATGAAGAAAAATACAGCCAGAGATAGAAATTGGCAAATGTTTATGGACCAGTACGTATTCTGTTGTTTTTATTGTTACTGTATAAGCACTTCCACCTTTTCTGGTTATAAAGTTCATGCCAGTAGTTTATGGTGTAGTTTGTGTCAAGCTGGGAGAACTTCATCATAACATTTTGAGAATAATTTGCTTCTTTGTAACATAAGAGCTATCTCTTGGGTGAAAGTTGTCACAAGCCCCTGAAGGTGTTTGTTTCAGAATAAAGTATATTTCTGCTAAATATAATGCTAATTTCTGATGAACTCTATTGAGAAGCCACCCTTCATCAAGCAGCGACTTGCTGTTACCCTGAGGGTGGCTACTTAATGGAGGGTCAACTGTATAAGGTGACGAGTATACTTCCTTACTTGTACTTGCAATGTACACTGTTTGTGAGATGGTAAGTTAAAGGCGCATACGAGCCAAAGGTCCAAATGGCCGGAGCTTATTTCCGATTTTATTAGCACGAAGTACCTAGGAGTATTGCTACTCCCCCCTGGACAGGATGCTAGTCCATCGCAGGGTTACCCCACACCAGTACCCATTTATATACACCTGGATGAAGAGAGACAAAGTGAGGCAAAGTTCCTTGTCTAAGGAAGCAACGCGACGGGCGAGGCTTGAACCCCAGACCTGCAAATCTGGAGTTCAAGGTGTTAACCACTCGGCCACACATGCCTCCAATATTTGTGAGATGGTTAGGACGATAAACACAAAGAAGATTCATTTGCTAGATTCTCATTCAAAATTGCCTGATGGTTGCTCCTAAGACAAGGAGACAATTTTGACGTTATTATCAAGTCATTTATTATAAAGTCCTTTTTCCAGCAGATGAATATAAACACCCACCACTTTTCAGTGCATCTAGTAAGAAGACTAGGTTTTCAGCAAAGGAGCCCTGAAAATTAATTAAAGGTTGATGTAAAGATTGGAACATATTACCTGACAGGTCGCCTAGTGTCACCTACATTGCGACAAATTGCTTTGTGTTTACTGGTTGACACAGAATTTTGCCACTGCAACAAGCTGCTCAAATTCTAATAGATTTGGTTTTGTTTGATTTATCGCAACAAGAAAATTTCAATCACAGGGACAAAGATTTTCGCAAATATTTTCCAGTACATGCACAGTGATTTGATGCTGCAATTTGTTGCTGTTCACAAGGAGTAGTTGGTTGCCAGAATGTGTTGCAGCAACATGTCATCTACTGTGTTCCAGTCCATCCTGGATTTGACTCAAAACCAGAGCAAAACAAGTGAACAAACATGGACTGGACTAGACTGGATCAATGGTTGCCACTCTGCCCCTCAATATTTGTCATTTACATGGTTCGTACAACTTCAGACAAACAAATTTCAACAAGACTCTGCAAAATAACTGGGTATGACTTGCAATTGCATCTGAGGTACAGAATAGCATTTGAAATAAAGAAACAGAACTAAAATATTGTTCATGCACCAAAATGTTTTACATTACCCGTGAGTTTCACAGGTTCTTATATACCGCGGATGAGCCTAATTTTCCTCGGCAAAATAATCTAATTTTATAGAAAAAGTTGTCTGGTGTAGACAAGGTTGAGAATTTCAAGGACTTTTTAAGACCAAATAAAGAAATCAAGTACTTTTCAAGGACCTTTTCAAGATTTATGAACAGGGCTGTGCTCTAAGGAAAATTAAAGGGTGCCCAGTGCTCTGAACCTGTCCCAGCATATGATTTGTATGAAAAATCTGAGATTTTCTAGTCGCTCAGGAGCAAAAGTTGGGCACCAGGGACCACCGGGCTCTGCTAGAGCACAGCCCTGATGAACTATGCAAGTTAAGGGGTTTGATCTTATCCAATCCAATCCAGGTTTTGTTGAAGCTTTCCTTAAATTCTCAAATATCATACTGTTATTAAAATACTTACAAATACTTTGTCTCCCACTGTGTTTTCTAGTTGTAGCTGCCTTGTTATTTGCAACAAAGCTGATCTGTCATCTGTTTGCACCAACCCTAACGATCAATACCATAATAATTATTATTTCTTAGATTAAGTGCCTAACCTCAAATTAGCATCCACCTTGAATAAACACCCACCCCATAGGTAGGAATAGTTAATAAGCATCCAGCCTCAAAAGAGCCCTGGGGTAGGGCTTCTGATTGGGTTGAAACAAATTTCCTGAGTGGCATGACCAAACAGAAGCACTATCAAGATCTTGTCAGCCATCATTTAGTGAAGAAACTAGTGGCATCACAAATTTTGGCTGTCTTCTCTTGGCAACAGAGGTTTTACACCTGAATCTGAGGATTTCAGATGACCATGCATGAAAATCACTTTTGCTACATTATGTACATTATATAAAAAAATAAAAAAAATAAAAAATTAATAACAATCATCCACAGCAATTGGGCAGCTCATTATCAAGTCATTCAAACCCAAGTTGAATGGGCCCGAAGGGGGTCAGAGTCAATAGCCCATTCGGCCTTCGGCCCCATGGGCTATTGACTCAGAGGCCATGAGGGTGAGAGGAATAATATTGTTTTTGTAAAATCCAACTAGTTGGTCAAAAATATTGAGACAAAACAACTTTAGCTAGCAAAAATGCGATTCAGCTGCCATTGTTTTGGTTTTCAAAGCCGGCGCTTTTCGTAACTAGTGGGCTATAACATATAGCCTAGTAGTAGCTCAGCCAATCAGAAAGCAGCATTGATAATAAACCACTAGTTGGATTTTACTAAAACCAGTGAGTGGCCTAGTTTATACCAAGTCTATCCATACATGTTGTTTCACAACCACTAGTTTCTGAGATGAAATGATGAAATGTTGAACCTCCCAAAATTGAAAGATTTAGTGGTTGCTTATGGGAGGAGGTGGTCGTTTATAAGAATCAAACCACAGGGACTCTCTTTCAAGAAAAAGTCCTGACACATCTACTTTTTGGCGTAAAATTTATTGTATGCAATTTCTAAGTTACGTATACACATGTATGTTACAGGACAAAATTAAATTCAGGTGAAAATTTGTCCCCTAGCCCTGATTCATGAATAATAAATTAGGGCTACAAGACAAAGGAAATAGAGAGTCAACCTAGGTTAAAAAATTTGCACCTGAATTTAATTTCACTTGTAACATATACATGTAGTGCCATGTTGTCACTGACAGTTTTTTGTATAATTTAAGTGGTGTAGTACATACGGAGAAAGAGACCATACCATGTGTGATTCCTTACAAGAGATTACAGCAAGAAACCCAAAAGTGTGTAAATTATTCACATTCTCTTGTGCAGATTTAATCCAATCAGAAGCCAGCTGGAAACTGTCCTCGACTTCTGATTGGTTCATGCCTTCATGAAAGAATGTGAATTAATTAAAGGAGGTCACAATTTTGGGCTCCTTGAAAGTAATGGAAAACTAAATTAACCATAAGCTAAAATGTGCTCATGTTTGCTTATGAAAGGTAGTTGTTTAGGTCAGGTTCTGATCAGACTTTGACCAGGAAAAGTTGGGTGTTTTAGAGAAGTGGTCACTTACAAAAGGTGGTCGCACATGGAGGCTTGACTGTTCTCATTTTTCCTTTTTCTCCTTTTTTGAGTTTTAGTGCCCAAGGCAATAATATGATGTATCATGCTACACGATCTTACCATTTAAATGAACTTCCAACATGTTCTGTTTCACCCCTTTTGTTTTATATAAATCCTCCAGAATGGTCTTGACAAGCTGAAGATAAAGCAATGGAAATTCTTGGTTTCTTTAATCTGCAATCCCATAGCAAGGCTGTGCTCTAAAGAAAATTGAAGGGAGCACAGTGCTCTGAAACTGTAAAATCTAGGGTGCCCGGCATAATTTATGATTTGTAAGAAAAATCTGAGATTTTTCAGTCACCCGAGGGCAAAAGTTAGGCGCCAAGGGCCACTGGGCACTGCTAGAGCACAGCCCTGCCATAGGTAGAGCAAAGAATCCAAGGAATTGAAGTTCAGTAGTTGCTGCAGCACAGAATCAATGTAAACTACAATGACAAAAAAACTGTGATTTTTGTAAGCAAAGCTGGAATGGCTCTTATATGACAGACAATTAGCAAGAGTTTCACTGCATTACAGAACTTTGACAGAGTTCTTACCAGTGACTTTCCACTACCTCTTGGACCAATCAGTAAAACAGAGTTACTTTCACCATATTGTGCACACCTCTTTATCAGATCTAACAACTCCCTGGTGACAAAGAAGAAAGGAATGAAATGAAACCAATTATGCATGAAGCTATTCAGTCTATTCACCACGGCAGTGTAACTGCGGCAGTGTCAGCTCAGTTGGTAGAGTGTGTTGACTGCAGAGCAGGAGGTCGTGGGTTCGATTCCTGGGGCCGGACCAATACTCAGGGTCTTAAAAGAACCGAGAAATGAAGGTGCTCCCTTTGCACTGCAACAGGCTAGACCTTTGCGTGGCTCGGATGACCACGTAAAATGGCGGTACCGTCTCCAGTTGGAGACGTAAAATACAGTGTCCCCTATTAGTACTTTCGTGCTTAATACATTGACACTCAAATAAAAAGTGCATTTTTTTTTTCACTCTTAGAGACACTCACTATGAGGAAATATTTAGTCAAAACAATAGAATACAGAGCCACTTGCTCCCACCTTACTGAATTATAATAACCATTTCTGTTAATTGTATGGCTTGTTACACTCCTTACAATATGGTCCTGTATTCTGTACTGGTAGTCTAGTTGCAAAAAATGTAATTTATCCACAGTTTGTGTTTTGCATATTTCCACACAAGTTACAGTGTTACAGAAGTGCTACTTAACTCTCTCAAGAAAATTTTGGAGTATAAATAGGGAAACCGGTTGTTTCAATACCAGCCGTTTCGATGCAAACTCAAGCAGTGAAATTGCACAAAAGTTTTGTTTGCACGTGAAAAAGAAAAATAATTCGGGTGAATACTCTTTGTTCTTTACGCCAAGTATGTGAAATCATTTACACCTCCACTGAATAAATTTGTATCAAAACGACAAGTATTGAAATGATTGGTAAATAGGTCAGAGGAACCATAAACAGAACAGATCTAGATACGACCACAAGGCGTAAGAAAGCAGGACATTACATGTTGATCGAAATTGATCCTCAGAAAGCTAGTCAATAAATGGATAGTGCTTGATATTTGTCAATAATACAGTCGACTCTCTCGTAACGGACACCTCTATAAGACAGACACCTCTGTAAAACAGACATTTAGTTGATCCCTGCCTTTCTTTACTCCCTTTGACTCTCTATAAGATGGACACCTCTCTAAGACGGACACTTAGTGCCAGTCCCAAAGGTGTCTGTCTTAGAGAGAGTTGACTGTAATTGTTGCTTGATTAGTTATCTTTGTTGATAAAAGTCGATAATCACAATGATCTTAGGACAGGTTATCAATTTCGATCGACTTCTGAGACCTTTCTGAGAACAGCTGTTGTCAACGCTTTTCAAACAGATGACTTGTTCAAAATTTGCAAACGGATATTGAAACTATTGCCTCTGATCCCCTTTTTTAACTACCAATAGTTTTCAGATAGAATCGAACTCTATCACCAATTTCGATAGAAATCGATAATCACACGAAATTTGATGATCGATTTACATCGATTTCCGATGTCTGTCGATTGATTAGTATTGACTTTTATAGACGACGATCGATTTTAATCGACTATCGAAATTATCGACATTTAACGTCCTGGAGAAACGAACTAATCGATAGAGCAGAATGTCATACCAGGTTTTTTGCCTCACAGTCAAAGTTTAGTGAACTTCAGTGTACAGAGCTAAGCAGTTTAAGGATAAGAGATTAAATCGAGAGTGCAAAAACTGGTATGAGACTTCTCTTCAACGGGGCGTACAACATCTTTTATGTCCAAATCAGTTTGCTTACCTCTTTTGCTCTTCTAAACCACGCAAGTCTGGCGGAATATCGCCATGAAAAATTCGACCCCGTAACACATTTTGTACTTCATTTATTACGTGAGAGTCAGGAACAATAGTTCTTCTCTTAGAATGTGATTTGCATCTCTTCATATCGTCAGCTGGTTATGAAAAATCCTAATCGTGAAGTTATGTCAAATCTTCCGCCATTTTTGCTCATGCAACCTCGTCCCCAGGGTTTAACCCCAGGGTCTCCTGTGGTTTACTGTGCGCATATGTTTTCTGAGGGCGCGATCCATTCAACCAAAATTCCGACCGGTCCGGCCGGGAAAAGTGGTCCACCTCAAAAGGTGGACCCGTTTTTTCGAAACTTTTCCGGTTGGACCGAACCGATCCATTGAGTTTTAGACCGAAATTTCCGGAAATTTTGGTTGAATGGATCGCGCCCTCAGTTTCCACTGGCCATTAGCCCGCGTTCAATATAATAAAATTGTAACATGGCTTCGAGGCTTTCGGGTCAAAATCGGATCGAAATTTTTCACGACTCCATTGTCCCGCAAATCCCAGAAGAAGACTTGAGCACAAAGAAAACCAAACCAAATATAAAAAAATGACCGGAAAGTCTCGGAGTCATGTTAGAATTTTTATAAATCGAACGTGGGCTGGTACCGAGGGTCTTCTAGAAAACGGGCCGAAACCTTGTGTTTCCGTGGCCAATGCAACCAGAGTCCGTTTTGCCACATAAGCGTATCTGCGACACTCAATTGACTGCGCCTCTGAAATGGATACCCCGTTCTAAATCAGGAGCTTCAAAATCACGACCCCTTTGGGCGGCACATACCCGTATAGGTAATGTATGGGAGTACCCCCCCCCGGGAACATAAGTCCCTTTATACCCAAGCCAGCCACTATCTTTAAACTGATTTACACCATATCGAAGCGAGAAAATGTACGGTAAAGTATAACAACTCGATTGCGTGGTTAACTATCACTATCCACTTTGGGGACGATAGCCAATTCTGATCAAAATCGTGTTTTTCTTTCCCTCGATTATTCAGTGTTCCGACCGGATGTTGCCGAGACAGGCACAATCAAGTTCGCAGTTACTTGGTATTAGCCTGTGATGTCTTCGAATATAGGAATGTTTCGAAGTTGATGGATTACAGGGGTTGATAATCCCCAGTGGGAATAAGTTAATCAAAACTATATAGCAGACTGAATACAAAAGAAATGTGAATACTCAAATAGGACGTCATAACCTGAGATTAGGCTCTGTTTTCGTTCTGTTTGGTAAACACAATTCTGGTAGGCAAGCGCGACCACGTACGTAAACAGGAAATCGGCTCCTAGTAAAGAAAAATGTATGAGAACTTCTATATATAACATTGTGTGTGATGCTAGGTGAGTAGGACGTATAAATATAGACTACGAGTGGTCGCCTTTTCTCGCGTGAGGTGATTTTCACGCGCGCTCGCGTTTCGCTCGCTCTACTATCCCTGAGGAAAAATGGGGGACTATGTAGGCTATGTAAATATAACGGCATGCTGCAGTTATCAGGGGCTCCTTTTCTCGTGTAGTAAAGTATTTACTTCTTCTCGTAACATCTATTGTAGCTTCAAGTAAATAAGGAAATGTTTCATCACGGTAGGCGGACTAGGTGCACGCAGGCTCCTGGTGCACGTTACCCCTAAACTAACGCTAAAGGAGACAATGGCATACTGCAGTTTGAAGCACACAACGCTAAGCATAGAAGAGATGTCCTCGCCCGGTGGGGAAGGTACTCAAGAAATATTTATACCGGGAGGCTCCGCCCCGAGGTTGAACCCGTTACCCTTCTATTTTCCATTTTTGGCAGAAAAAGGTACCCCTTTCGTATACCTTCTACTGTAAAAAGCACTGGCTTTAAAGGCTGAATCAATCACATACCACTGAAAGTTTTATTGTCTTGCGCCTGTTATGTAGGCCCTTTCACAGACTGCAATGACAGATTTCCCTGCCCTTTCATATACTTCAACCAGGAGCCCCTGATCCATAGCCTTTCATGTACCCGAAGCCTGAAAAAGGTACCCCTTTCGTGCGGAACCTCCCCGTATAGGCTATTATTGGGAGTACCTCCGAGCATCACCGTCATTTCCGCCTCTCCCTTTTATTACGACATTCTCCATCTATATAATATTGTGATCGCTACATAAGTTCAGTAACATCTGTAAACCTGAAGAAGGCTGGTATGGCCAGCCGAAATATTGTTATAAAATACAATACACGTTGTTTTAAATCAGATTTGCAGTAATCTTTGGACTTCTCGTTCTTGGTACTTTTATGTGGGATTCTCCACCCCCGCCACGAGAGAGTTTAATGAAGTTCTGGAAATTGAAAGGAAGTACAATAGTAGCCTGCGGGCAGACGTTTCCTATTTCAATTCCACGTGCAACAGGAATAGCTCCTGACCTGGAAGTAGGAGACAGGAAGTCGCTTACACAATCATGGTCATGTTTTATTGTAAAGCCGCTGACAATTTGGCGCGGAATCAAAATAATATTGGCAATGATTGTCAATATTGACAAACTAGAGGAGGAAAAGTCACTTGACAAGAGATCGAGTTTCGTGTTGCCTTCGAGTGAGGTTATTTCAGCGTTCAAAAAAGGCATAACGATCATTTTATAGCTTGTTTCCTTGGGGAAGGAGGTTAGAATGACTTCTGTGTTAAAGCGGGGACCTAAGAAGGGGAAACCTCAAGGTAATGTTCATTGCTGGGTCGATTCATGCTAGTTTCGAACTTAAAATTCTAGTGAATGTTTGATTGAATAATACTTATAACCATGTAGACTTTAATATAACGTTATATTGAACGCCGTTTAATAGAAAACCCAACGGAAAAGAAATGGCTTCATTCACCAGATGCTCTACAGCAAGGCTCAGTGGTGTATTCTGTCAAGGTATGCTGAAGGTTTTTGTGAAATTCTGTCATGATCCCATACAGACAATTCAGAAAATTATTCCCACAGCCATTCAGTTAATCCTGTGGTTTTGTTGTCGGCGACCACATGTGGACAAACTTTACCCAATATAGCATAGTCATTTTATGGATCTTTCCATTCGTGGTAAGTGCTCAAGGGCTTCGCTTTTGTGCCCACCGCTTATCAGATGATTTGCTTCGTTGGTTATGATAAAAACATGTGCGCACTTTCAGCTACTTTTTGGCTAAATTTCAGCAGTGAATATTAATTCAACCCACAATTTTTTACAACAGAAAGCAGATCGAATTTCCAGTTATGAAAACAACGTGCTTTAAATCGTTTGCAAGCATAATATATTTTCTCACAGTTTTTCTGGCCTGGGAAAATAGTTTAAATGACGTAAGTTCAATTAATCTTGCCTTCATACAAATACAGCAAATGTTAATAATGCGTGAAGACGTTTGAAGGATAATCTGTATCACGAAGCCAAAAAACGAAGCAAAGAAACATGTACAGTTGACAGATTCCGTGTAAATGTATTTTATTTTGTTCTAGCTCTTGCATACGTAAATGACGTCAATTATATTAAACACTTACTTTGACCTTCACTATAATTTATATCTCGAAAATCATTATCTATGGATTATGTACTTAAAATTTTACATAGCGTGTCATTCCATATTCACTCAGTTGCTTGTTCTAGACCAACTATCTGTGACAAGATGATTTGTCACCAAAGGCTGGTTTTCATTAACATCGTAAGTTGAAGTCTGAGTCGGAGTTGTAATCAGAAGTGTAAGATTCAACAATCTAGTGAAAATGGCATTCTGATTCTGCTTACGACTCTGTTGCTCATGATCAAGTGAAACATCGGCTGTTGAAGTCGCAAGCAGAAGCAGAGGAACTAAACCGCTTTTGCTTCTGACTTTCCTTATAACTCTGATTTTTGGGAAGAGCTCTTGACACTCCGCAGATGATTCCGACTCTGACTCTTTCACTAGTGAAAACTAGCCTTAACATTCAATTTTGTGAATGAAATCACAACATTAAATAACTAAGGCCTGTTTCAAACATTGTGCTACTGCCGTTCTAAGCTGGCTTGACTTCAGCGTGAGTCCAGCATGACTGTGGCATTTGGTCTTTCAGTTTTGAGCATTTTCGTGGTTGGTTTTTTGGTTTTCCATTGTGGTTTGTCATTTTTCCATGCTGAGAGTAACATAACTGGTGTACTGAATGTCCAAGGCTGTGTTTCCGGAAAAACAGTTTTATACTCGATCTGTTCAGTTTATGGAATGGGGTCTAGTGAGACTAGCAAACATTCTAGAATTGTGTGACTAACGACTAATCTTAATCTTTTGAGCTGTATGACACTAAACATCCAAAATTGTCATGCCACTGTTTACTCCAAGAAAGTGAGCATGTTGAAGCTTGAGTATGCCAGGTCTTTTGTGTGTCACAACCATGAGAGATAGTAAAACGTGCCTCATACTGGGCTGCTTATTATCATGTGCACCAGTCGAAGGTCTTTTTACCTTATACTAGAGACTCGAGAGTCGAGCGAATCAAGTTTTTTAAATGTGAAAATCGAGTCTTGTGTTTCGAGAAACCAGCAGTTTTTATATTCACCACTCGGAAGGATTTCGAGAAAAATAACAATATTCATTCGCATGTACGGTACATGCACCGACCAACAGGCCTTACGTGGACAATTTAAGCAAAGTTTAAGTTTAAGTTTTTGGTGATAAAAAAGGACCAATAAATCGTTGATGTTGTTGTTGATATTTTGAAAAAGAAATTGAGCAACAAAGCTTTATTAATCAGTACAGCGCTTAACATTGTATTTGAATTGGACTCACAAAAAAGTAAAGAAGCGTACAGAGAAAGAAACACGATTGTTTTTAGAGAAATTCACTCTGTTTCTTGTTCTTGAATTGCCACGTCCTTAAAAGATAGTTCGAGTTATCCAGGGTAAAGTTGTATAGAAATGATCTGAAGGGAGATAAAAATTACTTTGAGTTAGGAGGAAGTTCAAGTTGTCAAGGGTTTGAGTTACTGAGGGTAAAATTTAAGTATGAAGGAAATTCAAGGGAAATAGATTTTGGTTCTAGTTAGCGAAAGGTTTGAGTTAACGAGGGTTTGAGTTATCGGGAGTTGACTGTACTTTGGGCCACATTGAGTTTGTTTAGGTCTCTGTGTTCTAGTGGCTTAAGCTCTTGCCTTTGAAGTGCTTAATCATGGCGTCAAGCCCTAGCCATGAGATAACTCTACTTTTACTTACCTTTTTCTTTTTATGTTTTTCCCCTTTACTTGCTACATGTAAATAAACTAAAATTTTATTTTTCTTGTATGTTATACAGCTCTTTGGGTCTACAGAGGTTGCCCAAGCAAAGGGAACAGAAGTTGTAAGGGAAGCCATAAAGAAAGTTCGGGTAAAGGATTGAAATCATTATTTTACTTTTTTGAGTAAAGTTCAGCTGGATTTAAAATTATAGAGATTATTTTACCGAAAGTGTGCTGTATGATCTTTACATATGAGTTGTTGACACATACATTGTATCAGAAATCAAACAAGCTATCGCAGCTAATAAGTGAGATTCCTGATACACAAAAACTGACATTTTAAATTTTCAGCAAACCAGCGCAATATTATCACATAGTCATTCCCAGAGTATTTTGCAGATGTAATTACTTTGATTCTGCAAGAAAATTCAAAATACAACAACATTGCAGCATTTGTTTTAGTCATGTTATTTTTGGTAGTTTACTCAACAATATTGTAACATTTAGCGGTATATTACAACACCATTTATACAGGAACATTTATACAACATTGTTTGAAATTTTTTCCTTTTTTGGCAGTTTGCAAATCATATTAAAAAGAGTGAAGTGGGCGTGAAAGGAAGTAAGCTGAAAAAAGTTGAAATCAAGATTTCTATTGACAACATAAAGGTTGAAGACATAAAAACCAAGGTACTGTTTTTAACTTCCACATGCTTGTTTATAGTACTTTATCTGTAGTACTTTGCGTCTTCATTTGCTTGTTTCACGGCAAGTTCAGGATACAAAGGAATGTTTACTTCTGCAGATATTCTCCAAGTAGCAGATGTCATGCATCGAATTGTATTCTGACTTGCTGTTCTTGCTTTGTTCTTAGGCAGTAGTTCTGCTATTTCTTCTTTGTGAAACGTGAAATGTTCCGCCATTTTCGTTTGGCTCCAGGTTCCTTATTGTTTGTCATGTTTTGAAGGAGTTTTGATTGTCCCAATTAATATAGTTATTTCTTGAAAGTGTATTGTGTACAGTGACAGTTTAATACACAATGTGGCTTTAATACATTTAAGTCTTTAATCTCTCTTGTCTCCTGTCTTGGTCTGGGTTATAGTAAGAAACAAACGGTGTAGGATTGTGAAGCAAACAAAGTTAAAGTCATTTTTAAAAGAATTTCATTTGAAACTTTACTATGCAAATGAATGATTTAATAAGATGACAGGGTTCAATTAAATGAGCTTCATCTTGTAAACAGTAACATTAAAACTTTTCTTTATTATAGGAGGAGCTATTTTGCTATCCACTTCATCGCATATCCTACTGTGCTGATGATAAACGTGACAAAAAGGTGTTTGCTTTTATTGCAAAGGATAGTGGCATGCCACAACATTTATGTTATGTATTTGAGTGTGAGAAAATGGTGAGTGCAGGTGACAATAACAATCTTTGAAAATATACATTCAACAGTTTCGAATGTATAATTTTATTAATAATTAATAAAATTATAAATTCAGAATTATTAGTTTTATTTTTATAGTGTGACATTGAATATTATTTACAGGGGGGGGGGGTGTCGTAAGAGAGTGGGAAATTGTTGACACTTGTGAGGTACACATAGAATACTTCATGGCAAGTACACATGAGTTACTGACATATCAGAATCATCGAATGAGTGAGATTTCTGTTCCAAAAACAGTGAGTGCATAAATCCTTACAGAGCACTTTTCGTGTGGTATTGTGTTTATTATATACATTCACACTCTGAGAAACTCTTCATTTTACCAGCCGTTTATCTCAGATTTTTCCAAAATGGTAAAATTTGTCACTACACATCGTAAAAGTAAAAGAGCCGATTAAAAGCATACTAACATGGTATGACCGAATATAATGCCAATATACATAGAACTTAGCACCTTAGTACTAAGCGTACTAAGGTACTATTACAGAATAGTATGTGCCATGATTGGCCTGTTGAAATGCAATTGTTCATTTGGCAATTAGGTTGAAGAGAAATTCAAAATGCATTTGCAGTAATTCTATGAGTACTTTGGGTGCCCAGAACAAGGATATTGGTGATGCTTTGCAGACGTCACTAACTGTGGTTAGATAACCTCTGCAACACCTAGGCTAGTGCCGTGTAAGCACATGGTCCAATACGGATTCTTTCTTACCTGACTTTTTATTTTCTTCTAAGGCGGAAGAACTTACATTAACAGTAGGGCAAGCATTTGACCTGGCCTATCGACGGTTTCTTGAAAAGAAATCCAACAACCAGGAAACAACTAAGAAGCTTTCTGAGATGGAAGAGAGGATTAAGACAGCAGAAGAGGAGAAAGAAGCATTAAAACAAAAGATCGCTAAACTTGAACTAGCTGCAGGTCAAGGTACGCCGACCAGTAATGGCAACACCGAGGTAAGCCATGGTGCCATAACTTGGCAAATATTAATTTGATAAATTTTTGTGGAATTTGCAGCCAGATTCAATGTCTTGTAAAGTTTCCCCCCCCCCCACCCCCAAAATGGCAACCCCTCCTACCTGAGATATAGTTAATCACCCTTTCAATTATTTATTAATTATTATTATTATTATTATTATTATTATTATTATTATTATTATTAAAAATGCATTTGATTTGAGTGTCAAAGCATTTAGAAGGAAGGTACTAAGGATTGGGGACACTGTTTTACATCTCCAACTGTATGTGGTCATCCAAGCCACATAAAGGTCTAGCCCCTTGCAGGGCAAAGGGAGTAAATACTTAGTGCAAGTATGCATCTGTCACTCGAATCTGTGTCCAGACATAGATTTGCCAAATTAAATATTTTATTTTATTGGTAGGTACAGCTACTGAATTACATTTGCATTTGATTAGCACATTTTGAATATTCATAATGATTTCTCTAGTTTGAACTCAATTCTTTGAAAATCTTCTTCTTCAAGAACGCTAATAACTTATTATTGATCTTGAAAATGAACGCATTAATTAGCATAGCAGTGGTGTACATACAATTCAGAAAAAAAGATATAACTTTTTACAGTAGTAGTCACAAACAACAAATACATTATATTATTTTGCTCTTACAGTATATTTCAATTTTGGAGGTAAGTCAAACTAGGGGTTGTTTTGATGCCATTTGTGCCATAAGGGATGGTGTGGAACCTAATTCAGAAGTTTTCTTTCTAATAATCTGATTGTAATTTTTATAGGTCAGCCGTGGCCAGTCAATCACAGATGAGTTTGATCTCTTGGGAGGTTTTGGAGGCCTTTCAACCACATCAGGTTCACCAACTCAAAATTCAGCACCACAGGATGAGACTAGTCAAGAGATAACCTTTGACCCTTTTGCTCAGAATCCTTCACCACAACCAGCTCAGAAAAGAACTCCATCAGAATCATCTGCACCTTTATCTCCTGACTTCAATGAATTTTCCCCCCAGCCCATGTTATTTGAAGCTCCTGATTTTTGGGAAGAGCTCTTGACACTCCGCAGATGATTCCGACTCTGACTCTTTCACTAGTGAAAACTAGCCTTAACATTCAATTTTGTGAATGAAATCACAACATTAAATAACTAAGGCCTGTTTCAAACGTTGTGCTACTGCCGTTCTAAGCTGGCTTGACTTCAGCATGAGTCCAGCATGACTGTGGCATTTGGTCTTTCGGTTTTGGCCATTTTCTTGGTTGGTTTTTTGGTTTTCCATTGTGGTTTGCCGTTTTTCCATGCTGAGAGTAACATCACTGGTGTACTAAATGTCCAAGGCTGTGTTTCCGGAAAAACAGTTTTATACTCGATCTGTTCAGTTTATGGAATGGGGTCTAGTGAGACTAGCAAACATTCTAGAATTGTGTGACTAACGAGATCTTAATCTTTTGAGCTGTATGACACTAAACGTCCAAAATTGTCATGCCACTGTTTACTCCAAGAAAGTGAGCATGTTGAAGCTTGAGTATGCCAGGTCTTTTGTGTGTCACAACCATGAGAGATAGTAAAACGTGCCTCATACCGGGCTGCATATTATCATGTGCACAAGTCGAAGATCTTTTTACCTTATACTAGAGACTCGAGACTCGAACGAATCAAGTTTTGAAATGTGAAAATCAAGTCTTGTGTTTCGAGAAACCAGCAGTTTTTATATTCACCACTCGGAAGGATTTCGAGAAAAATAACAATATTCATTCGCATGTACGGTACATGCACCGACCAACAGGCCTTGCGTGGACAATTTAAGCAAAGTTTAAGTTTAAGTTTTTGGTGATAAAAAAGGACCAATAAATCATTCTCTATCTTGAAGGTTGGAAAATTGACTCAGTATAATACAATTATTATTGTATCAGGTCTTTCTTTTGAACTAAAAAACTGTTTTTATATTTGTGAAGGTATGTTTCTATGTGCGTTGTGCAGCTTCAATTCAGGGGCAACAAGAGATATGTTGATATTTTGAAAAAGAAATTGAGCAACAAAGCTTGATTAATCAGTACAGCGCTCAACATTGTATTTGAATTGGACTCACAAAAAAGTAAAGAAGTGTACAGAGAAAGAAACACGATTGTTTTTAGAGAAATTCACTCTGTTTCTTGTTCTTGAATTGCCACATCCTTAAAAGATAGTTCGAGTTATCCAGGGTAAAGTTGTATAGAAATGATCTGAAGGGAGATAAAAATTACTTTGAGTTAGGAGGAAGTTCAAATTGTCAAGGGTTTGAGTTACTGAGGGTAAAATTACAGTAATTTAAGTATGAAGTAAATTCAAGGGAAATAGATTTTGGTTCTAGTTAGCGCAAGGTTTGAGTTAACAAGGGTTTGAGTTATTGGGAGTTGACTGTACTTTGGGCCACATTCAGTGTGTTTAGGTCTCTGTGTTCTAGTTGCTTAAGCTCTTGCCTTTGAAGTGCTTAATCATGGCGTCAAGCCCTAGCCATGAGATAACTCTACTTTTTGCTTACCTTTTCCTTTTTATGTTTTTCCCCTTTACTTGCTACATGTAAATAAACTAAAATTTTATTTTTCTTGTATGTTATACAGCTCTTTGGGTCTACAGAGGTTGCCCAGGCAAAGGGAACAGAAGTTGTAAGGGAAGCCATAAAGAAAGTTCGGGTAAAGGATTAAAATCATTATTTTACTTTTTTTTTCAGTAAAGTTAAGCTGGATTTAAAATTATATAGATTACTTTACCAAAAGTGTGCTGTATGATCTTTACATATGAGTTGTTCACACACACATTGTATCAGAAATCAAACAAGCTAGCGCAGCTAATATGTGAGATTTCTGATACACAAAAACTGACATTTTAAATTTTCAGCAAACCAGCGCAATATTATCACATAGTCATTCCCAGAGTATTTTGCAGATTTAATTACTTTGATTCTGCGATAAAATTCAAAATACAACAACATTGCAGCATTTGTTTTAGTCATGTTATTTTTGGTAGTTTACTCAACAATATTGTAACATTTAGCGGTATATTACAACACCATTTATACAGGAACATTTATTCAACATTGTTTTAAATTTTTTCCTTTTTTGGCAGTTTGCAAATCATATTAAAAAGAGTGAAGTGGGTGTGAAAGGAAGTAAGCTGAAAAAAGTTGAGATCAAGATTTCTATTGACAACATAAAGGTTGAAGACATAAAAACCAAGGTACTGTTTTTAACTTCCACATGCTTGTTTATAGTGCTGATTACCACGATTGATGTTAAGTTTGCGTCTTCATTTGCTAGTTTCACGGCAAGTTTGGGATATAAAGGAATGTTTAGTCCTGCAGATATTCTCCAAATAGCAGATGTCATGCGTAGAATTGTATTCTGACTTGCTGTTCTTGTTTTGTTCTTAGGCAGAAGTTCTGCTATTTCTTCTTTGTGAAACGTGAAATGTTCCGCCATATTTTCATTTCTTATTCCTTATCGTTCCTCATCGTTTGTCATGTTTTGAAGGAGTTTTGATTGTCCCAGTTAATATAGTTATTTCTTGAAAGTGTATTGTGTACAGTGACAGTTTAATACACAATGTGGCTTTAATACATTTAAGTCCTTAATCTCTCTTGTCTCCTTGTCTTGGCCTGGGTTATAGTAAGAAACAAACAGTGTAGGATTGTAAAGCAAACAAAGTTATAGTCATTTTTAAAAGAATTGCATTTCAACCTTTACTATGCAAATGAATGATTTAATAAGATGACAGGATTTCAATTAAATGAGCTTCATCTTGTAAACAGTAACATTAAAACTTTTCTTTATTATAGGAGGAGCTATTTTGCTATCCACTTCATCGCATATCCTACTGCGCTGATGATAAACGTGACAAAAAGGTGTTTGCTTTTATTGCGAAGGATAGTGGCATGCCACAGCATTTATGTTACGTATTTGAGTGTGAGAAAATGGTGAGTGCAGTTGACAATAACAATCTTTGAAAATACAGTCGAACCCCGCTATTTCGAACTCGTTAATTCGAAGTCCCAACCATTTCGAAGGAAGATCGAATGCCCTTGGATTTACCCTTCCCCTTTATGCTTCCCCGGTTATTTCGAAACCCCGCTATTTCGAACTTTTTTCCATTTCCCTTGGGACTTCGAAATAGCGAGGTTCGACTGTATACATTCAACAATTTTGAATTTATAATTTTATTAATTAGTTTTAGTTTGATAGTGTGACATTGAATATTATTTACGGGGGGGGGGGGGGGTGTCGTAAGAGAGTGGGAAATTGTTGACACTTGTGAGGTACACATAGAATACTTCATGGCAAGTGCACATGAGTTACTGACATATCAGAATCATCGAATGAGTGAAATTTCTGGTCCAAAAACAGTGAGTGCATAAATCCGTACAGAGCACTTTTCCTGTGGTATTGTGTTTATTATATACATTCACACACTGATAAACTCTCCATTTTAGCAGCCGTTTATCTCAGATTTTTCCAAAATGGTAAAATTTATCACTACACATCGTGAAAGTAAAAGAGCCGATTAAAAGCATAGTAACATGGTATGACCGAATATAATGCCAACATACATAGAACTTAGCATCTGAGTACTAAGCGTACTAAGGTACTATGACAGAATAGTATGTGCCATGATTGGCCTGTTGAAATGCAATTGTTCATTTGGCAATTAGGTTGAAGAGAAATTCAAAATGCATTTGCAGTAATTCTATGAGTACTTTGGATGTCCAGAACAAGGATATTGGCGCTGCTTTGCAGACGTCACTCACTGTGGTTAGATAACCTCTGCGACACCTAGGCTAGTGCAGTGTAAGCACATGGTCCAATATGGATTCTTTCTTACCGGACTTTTTATTTTCTTCTAAGGCGGAAGAACTTACATTAACAGTAGGGCAAGCATTTGACCTGGCCTATCGACGGTTTCTTGAAAAGAAATCCAACAACCAAGAAACAACTAAGAAGCTTTCTGAGATGGAAGAGAGGATTAAGACAGCAGAAGAGGAGAAAGAAGCATTAAAACAAAAGATTGCTAAACTTGAACTAGCTGCAGGTCAAGGTACGCCCACCAGTAATGGCAACACCGAGGTAAGCCATGGTGCCATAAATTGGCCAATATTAAAAGTGATAAGTTTTTGTGGATTTAGTAGCCAGATTCAATGTCTTGTAAAGTTTCCCCCCCCCCCACCCCCATTATGGCAACCCCCTCCTACCCAAGATATAGTTAATCACCCTTTCAATTATTTATTATTATTATTATCATTATTATTATTATTATTGTTAAAGATGCACTTGATTCGAGTGTCAAAGCATTTAGTAGGAAAGTACTAACGATTGGGGACACTATTTTACATCTCCAACTGTATGTGGTCAAGTATGCATCTGTCACTCAAATCTGTCTCCAGACATAGATTTGCCAAATTAAATATTTTATTTTATTGGAAGGTAAAGCTACTGAATTACATTTGCATTTAAATTAGCACATTTTGAATATTCATAATGATTTCTCTAGTTTGAACTCAATTCTTCGAAAATCTTCCATTTCAAGAACGCTAATAACTTATTATTGATCTTGAAAATGAACACATTAATTAGCATAGCAGTGGTGTACATACAATTCATAGTTTTAGAGTTAATCTTAAAGAAATAACTTTTTTCAGTAGTAGTCACAAACAACAAATACATTATATTATTTTGCCATTACAATATATTTCAATATTGGAGGTAAGTCAAACTTCGGGTTGTTATGATGCCATTTGTGCCATAAGGGATGGTGTGAGACCTAATTCAGAAGTTTTTCTTATTAATCTGTTATTTTTATAGGTCAGCCGTGGCCAGTCAATCACAGATGAGTTTGATCTCTTGGGAGGTTTTGGAGGCCTTTCAACCACATCAGGTTCACCAACTCAAAATTCAGCACCACAGGATGACACTAGTCAAGAGATAACCTTTGACCCTTTTGCTCAGAATCCTTCACCACAACCAGCTCAGAAAAGAACTCCATCAGAATCATCTGCACCTTTATCTCCTGACTTCAATGAATTTTCCCCCCAGCCCATGTTATTTGAAGCTCCAGTTTCCAGGCCGACACCCAAGGGTCCAATACCTCAAGCCCTTCCCCCTCCTCCCACAAAACAGAGTGTAAAAGCAGCAAATAGATCAAAACAAGGTGGTGGTGTTCTTCCAAATGTAGCATCTCCGACGCACCCAACATCCCCTGCGTCACCAACTTCACCAGCCTCTTTGCCTTCACCTTCACATGGTAACAATTAAATTTTCTTTTATAGTCTAGCCAGATCATGCATACCCCTTAAGATTTTATTAATGGAACGATTAGTAAGAGTTGGATGCATTAGTTGTAGATTTCAGATTCATCCCTGCATTCCTGCATGAGCCAGGGACTGTGGAGCTATGGGTTTGGGTGGGCACCAATAATTTTGGGGGGAATTTTTTTTTCATTGACAAAAATTTTAAAAACCTTAATTCAGGTGTCCCCTATTTCAAGAAGGATTTTGCTTATGCTAGTCAAAATACATTATTTGACTCTCTCATAAGGTTGACTCATTTAATAATAACTCTTTCTCAATGTATGGTTTTCAATGTTTTTTACCATTAAGCTCTGCTTTTGATGGGTGTTATTGGGGTCAAGCCTGAATTTTTGTTAGTTTTCAACCATCTTGAAACAGTTCATTACATACAACACTGTGTGCAGGGCATCTATTCTTAAGCTACCGTATGTTGGCTAACTGTGCTGTCTCATTTTTATCAGAGTTGTTACAAATAGGGAACAGTAATGCATACAATGGTGGAAACCCTTTTTCCATTGGTGTTAATGGCACAGATCCCTCAGAACATGTGTTTGATCCCTTGGCTTTAAAGAATTCATATCTGGGCAGTGATAAAGAGATCAATCAAAATTCAATAAAGGTTTGTTTTTCATGCTTTGCTAAAATTACATTGAGTGTAGTTTGATGTGTTGATTAAAAACACTTTGCAGCTAGAACCAAAATTTTAAACCAAGAAGGCTAATAATCTAGGAAGAATGTAAGCATTGACCGCTTGGGAAACAATGAGCTTTGCTTTCACTAGACCCTCAATGAGGCCCTCATAGGGAGATTACGTATGTCCCTAGTCTGAATTTCAAAACCTGTCATTTTGCATATTGAGTCCCAAGGGAGCCATGTCGCTATCATTGTTTTACTGTTGTTTATGCACTTTTCTTTGTCACTGTCACAGTTTCGTTTGATGTCATTCCTGCTGTCCTTTGTCGCTGTTTTAAGGCCATGTTGCTAGTCGGAATTTTACCCTATCAGGGCCTCCTCAATGTTGTCTGGGAAATAAATCTTACTATTTCCTGTGGGGTCAGTCATCAAGTATTTTATTTATACCTCCGAAGTAAAAGGGGAAAAAAATCAGCAAACCAAATATAATTTCATTGTTGGCAGAAAAGGGGCAAAATTGGCACTTCAAGTTTGCCACAGTTTCTATCTCACAATCTGATCACTTGCAAGTCTTTTATAAGCTTTGAAAGTATCTTTTAGTGAAAGAAAATGAGTTTTTCTGTTGATGGAAAGTGTCCAAATTTCTCCTTGTGGGCTTTGTTTAAGAATGCGAGGAGAAATTTTGGGTTGAAAATAAGGCTATTTTGACGTTCTGACCACAAAAACTGATATTCTTAGTTTTCTCGAAAATAAAAGGTTTTTTTGGGAGAAACATTTACATCAGATTCCTTATCTACCTAAAAACTATTTATGGACAAAAAATGAAAGAAATTAATTTTTCGACTCCTGCCACTCAATGCTCAATATTTTCTGACCTTCACTTTTGAGTTCCTGAGGGAGTTAGTAAGTTTTGCTTACCCTAATGACTTGTTTTGACTCCATGGCAAGTTACACATTCTCATCCAATTGGAAAACCTACTCAAGTTGTAATTGAGAAGTAAAACAATCACATTAACCTTTAAGATTAGATATTAAAACATTATTGTCCACACTGTTCTGCATGCAGTTCTTATGCTTCCACGATAACAAACTCAAGATTTTGTTTTAGAGTTACAGTATTTTTTGGTGATTATTTCTTTTGTTTTTCTTCATTGTGCGTTGTATGTACATACTACAATCAATATTATTTTAACCTGAACATAACTTAGCTGCAGTGTATTCTTGCGGGTTGAATGATTTATAATTTTGTTTTTTTTCAACCAGGATGAAATGTTGTTATCAGTATAATTGAAGTCACCCTTGTGAGGAAAACAATAAACTATTAAAGTGATCACTCTTGATTTATCTTTTAACAGGCTGGATTTTAAAGAATTCAACATTTTAGAAAACAAAAGAGAAACTAGGTATGTTTAAACAGTCTTACAACAAGTTGAAAATTTGTGGAATTCACAAGTATATGATTATGGTACATCTATTAGGACTTAAGGTTACAATTTTGATTCATATCACAACAAAAAAATTGAAAAAGGAGAATTCCTTTTGACCAAAATTTGTTTGTATAGAATTCTTCGTTTTCATTTTTTTGCCGTTTTTGTGTAAAGCGTAAAATGGCTATCCAGTTTCTAGGCCTTAATTATAAAACGTCCATGAACTTTGTTAGTATGGAATTTTCTTTTTTCATTTTTTGCAGTACCAGTGTAAAGTATAAAATGGCCCAATTTTTACAAATGTAGGCCTTATAAAAGGTCCATGTTAAATTAATAACTAACACTACACTCTGTTCATTATCACAGCCTAATGGCTTCTCCTGTTGGCTAATTTTCTTCTACGTCTTCTCAACTTTCATTTGGCCAGGGTTCATACAGTTCATGGAAAACTTAGGATATCATTCTTTAAATTTAAGAATTTCATTTTCCAGGCCTGGAAAGTCAGGGTCAGGAATTAATTTTAGTTGTCAGTCATGGAAAATAGACCTTTTTACCGATACGGCAGCCATATTGAACTAATTCAATTTAAGGAGTATTATAGGATGCCCAGGGGACATGAGCACATTTCGTTTGTATTTTCCAGCGCTTTTCGGGACATTTTTTCTTAAAGTTTTCTTAGAATAAGATTCTGATGGGAAAAAAGATCCTTGTGCCCTGTTTGGATGTAATAATGATCGCCTTTTTCCCGAGAAATATACAGTGAAAGAACATATTTCTAATACTAAACTAGAAAAAGGCAATCATTATTACATCCAAACACGGCACAAGGATCTTTTTTTCCATTACAACCTTATTCTAAGAAAACTTGAAGAAAAAATGTCCTGAAAAGCGCTCAAGAATTTGAACGAAATGTGCTCATGCCCCCTGGGCATCTTATAATACTCCTTAAATCGAATTAATTCAATATGGCCGCCGTATCGGTGAAAACGTGTATTAAATTTATACTTGGTAGATTAGTTACTGCAGTTGTCAAAGCATGGGCGAAGTACTGTAAGGTAGAGATAAGTAATTAAACAGTGCAAACAGCACACGTTTTGGTAACACCAGAGTTTGTGTCTGTAAAAGAATAATCCCAAAAACAAGTAATGTGTAGTTTTCAAAAATGGCAGCTAAAACTAAGGCCATGTAAAACTGGGAAAGTTCCTCGAAAAATTCATGGAAAGTCATGGAAATTAAACAGCTCAAAAGAGTACAAACCCTGCTGTCATTGTTGACGTGCATCAAACGGTTAACATTTATTTATTGAGTTACTTGATATTTTTTCAGCATCAGAAACGTGCCTGAGGTTCTTTCAGTGGACTCTAAGTTGGCTTCCACATTTCTGAATGTTGCAGTTATGATGTAAATGTTGTTACAGAGAGACCTGAAGTTTCCTACATGTAGTTATTGATTTCTGGTACTGCATAATAATAATATTATCTTTTGGGATTAGAAATTAAAAGAGATTTTTATAAAAGCTTTAATAATTTACAGAGAAGTTCAAATGGTTGAAATTAAGAGTATGGTGGTGATTTTTTTTAATCATCCATGTTGGTATTATGTAGATTTAAGTGCATCTTTTTCATTTAACAAAAAAACCATGGTTTTGATTTGCGATGTGATAAGTCTCAAAGTAATATAGAGTTGTTATTTTTGAGCTCCAAATATTGACTTGTTAGCTGATTGAATGTCCATCTTAATTTAAGAATTTGCGTGTGGTCAACAGTCAGCATTTAGCATGATATAGAGTAATTATTCATCGTTAAGTGACTGTAACATAATGTTCCATGAATTTAATTGGCTTTAAGCAGTCCTGACTTCATCTTAGACAAAATATAAATGGTACAGTTTGCCTAGTCCCTGCTCGGACGAAGTGACGTTAAACGCATTGGCCATGCAGAATAATGAGGACTAGGCAAGGGTATAGTGATCTTAATTGTCCTTTTGTTAAACAAACTATTAAAGTGATCAGTATTAGGTTACAGTTCAGTGGTTGATCCAGACCTTCAGGTAAGGTGGGGGGGGGGGGGGGGGGGAGAAG